AGCGTCGTTCATGGCTTTATCATTCCTCGTTATCCTTACCCCCCACCTCATGAACTTTTTGAAGCCCCTACAAATTAAAAGAAAAAATGAGAAGTGTGGACAAGATTACTTTCCAACAACGAAGATAAAGGGAGGAGGAGAAGTACCGGAACCATTTGCTGAATTACTTGGTGAGTAATTTCATCATTAGACAAAGCCTCATTTGTGGCTAAGTCTCGAGGAAGAATTACCCCTCTAGTATTCCCAACGGCGACATTAAAATCTTTAGCAGCAGAGTCCTTCATCGTAATCTCTCTCATTTTCGCTTTAAGAACAGGTCAGAAAAAAGGAATAACAGGTATGACAGAAGGCATTGTTTCATACTCTGCAATTTTGCATTTCTTGGGGGTAGGGTCCTCGAAAAGTTCAAGAATTGAATCAGGATGGTCTTCGAGAGAATGAATAGAAATTAGAGGATCGAACTCAACGGGAATAGAAGTATCAGTGGCCCGAACCAAATCAATTGGTTCATCGTCTTGTAGAACCATATTGTTTGGCTCGGGAGGTGTAATTTCAGTAGGGACTTCAGGAGCAGGTTCCTCTTCAAATATAGGGATAGAAGGAATAGAAGGATCAATTGGCACAGTTGGTTCGACGGAGGCGGTTGGTTCAACAGTTGATAAAAAATCAAGAAAGTTCTTGACCGTCCTATTTATTTCAGAAGGGGCTGGCAATGATCGTTTGCGGGGATGGGGAGTCTAGTCCTGAGCAAATTGGATAACTTGGTGGTCTTCGGCAAGGGCGGAGTTGGGTCGGGGTGAAACAACAATAAATGACATATATATGGGAGTGTATCCAAGCAAGGTATGAGTAGCGCGGCAAAAAAATGAATCATTATACTCCCACACTCTCTTCAGTTCTTCCATCTTGATAGCTCGATTAGGGATCCTTCCCTTCACATTCTCGCCTTCAAATGAAAGATATCATAAGCAAAAATAGAGGATGAATGAATTAAAAAGATAGAGTAAAAATGACAGTTACTTGGTACGCCTTCCTCGTAGGGACAACGATAGGAAGGAGTGCCGCTAGTAGCATACTCCCAATTTCTAGAGACAAAGACCACATCATTCTCATGGCCTTGTTGGAATCTGGAAGATGGGTCACCAAGTAATGATCCTTCTTTCTCACAGCAAGGTAGTAGTTGTCTCCAGTTGATTTGACAATGTAACAGTACAAAATCTCCCATAATCCAAGGCTCAGGTCAAAAGCCTATTCAGAGTAGCTACACCCATCACTATGCTGAAGAAGTTGGGGCAGCATTGGATGGGGCACAACTTCATTGCAGACAACACCCAGAGAAACAAGGGATCGAGGGCAAGCGAACTCCACCTTTTGTTATCGTTCGAGTATGGATAAGGATGCTTTCTCTGCTACCTATCAAAGGCTCATCACTACTAGCGACTCGTAAGTTAACGTCGTCTGGAATATCGTATTTGGCTTTGAAGGTGGGAATCTCAAAAGGAGTAAGAGGTGCCATAACAGAAGATAGTGAATGTGCAGAAAAAGGCAAAGAGGTAAAGAAGTCTAAAGTTGAGGAGGTAGAATGGAGAAAGGAATGAAAGAAGTCGCTTATAAAGGAGGGAACTGAAGTCTAAAAGGCAATATTTATATACAAGACACGCCGCCAAAACAAGGGGAGATGTCCCAAAAGTGTGCGCAATGATGGATTTGGGGGCATGAAACAACTGATAAACGAAAAGCATTTGTCAGACATTTTTTGGGGGCAAATGAAGGGGGTGACTCCCTTTATGACACGTGTAGTAGCATTAAATGATCCCACATGAAGGTGACAAGACCAGTCACGTGAGAAAGACATCATTAGACTCAGTCATCAGACCGAAGCCGAATTGTTCAGAGAGCTCAGGAAGGAGGGAACGAACTTGGTCCTCATCATGACCGAGTTGTTTCAAACAGTAAACATAGTGCTAAAGAAATGCCTATAATTCAGGCATTCCGGTCAAACGAATGGGCATAATCATAGGCTCAATGGAAGGAATTGCAGGAGAGATCTCAGCAACTTCCTGAACAGAGTAGCCAGATTGAAGGAAGGTGTACCACCTTGAACCGAAAATCATGGAAACCTTAATTAAGCAAAGTTCTATAAAAGGCATAAAGAGTCAAGGTGAAAGGTACGCTGAACTCTCTTTGTCTTCTTGCAATTCACTCAATTCTATTATTGACTTAAGCATCAGAGTGCCTTTAATCGAAACACTTCGATCTTGGGCATTTTGTTCGTTTTACAGGAAGGACAAACTGGGAGATCAAGTTTAGAGAACACTTTTACTAGAAATATTAATCCTTCATACTCGTAGGAGGTACATCTGTTTTTGCCTCTTACAATAATCCCACAAATTCTGCATGTCATTAGTTTGTAGAGAAAGAAAAATAGTGAAGGAATATTTTTCTTTTGGGAAATCCTGTACTTGATTCAGCTATGTTCCATCATGATGTGAAGACAGTAGGAGTGTGTGTTTGGATTCAAGTTTGTTGCTACAAGTCATGTGTTCACATTTCAAGTTATGAATTTGTACGACTTAATACTATATATATGTTGATGCAGCGTCATATAAGACTGTGTACATTTTTGACATTTCTCAAATTCGTGATAACAAAAGTTAGATGCACTTGTTGCCGTTCTTGTTGATGTGCTGTCAGTTGGAGGCTATGAAAAACCTGGAAAATGAATGGAAAACAACTTTCCGAGGCCAATGGGCATGGCTTGTAGATTTTAACGTCGAACAGTCTTAGATCGACACTAGACCAATATTTCATTAACTTCTAAACACCCTTTTCTGTTCATTTTGAAGGTCTCCCATAGCCTCTTGTGATAATCTCAAAGCTACATCAACATTATATATGTATGGAGTAACATATGAATGTGTTAACTACCTAATGAAACCTTTTTCTTTTCTCCAAATTTGTAAGCTGGCTAGATGACTATACTGGTATTAAACCTTTGGAAAATACTCGAGAAGTTATTTTTTGATATCTATACTACTAATAAAATTATCATAACATGAAAAACTTTTAATTTCCTATATTATTCCTACTTAGATTTCTATATTCAATTATACCCTAATCTCTTATCTTATTTGATTTAAACAATGACAATTTAATTTAAGATATCAATGGTGTATATTATATTACTCTATGAGAAAGTTAATAGATACTTTTATTCAAGTATTCTTATTCTCTACATGATGGAAGTATAATTGCAACTATCATTTAAGGCAATAAAATCATGATAAATAATATGCTATTACAAATCAAAGTTATGGAATTTAAAAGAACTTGGTGCAAATGAAGGGACACAAAAAATCATAAAATCCAAATGTTTAATGAATTACAGAGGGCATATATGCCAAGTATAAATCCATCTCACCCTCAATCCATAACAGCCACCCTGTTGTGCAAATTACAAGCAGTCTAATTTAACTATAAAATATTCATTTTCAATTTGAAATACCAAAAATAAAAAATTGAAAAACATTGCTATAGTATTAAAATCAATTAAAATATTGAGGACTTGCTTGTTCCGATTGAAATTTCAAGAACCAAGTTAAAACATGACTTATACTTGAAGAATATAAAGCTTATAACACTCAAATAAAAATTATACTTTAACCTAGGCCACGTGCAACGCACATATGCACTAACTAGTCTTATTAAAAGTTAATATAAAATAAATGTGGAGTTATACCTAAATATTGGCTGGTTATGACTCAATCCAAGAAGATCACAACAAAATGAGGCTAACTCCCAACTTTTTTAACCTTGACTTAACTTTTTGGGATTGTATCTTGATCCCATTTGAATTGTAATTGACCTTATTTTATGGTAATTGACGGTACGATACCAAATTCAGTATCGCAGTTAGTTCCTTAGAGTTCTGATTGGATACTTGTTGATGCTAATGTACCATGCTGATGCTTTTGGATGATTATAATCCCATAAATTCTGCATGTTATTAGTTTATAGAGAGAGAAAAGTAGTGAGAGATTATTTTCTCTTGGGAAATCCTGTACTTAATCTAGCTTTGTTCCATCATGGTGTGAAGGCACTAGGAGTGTGTGTTTGGATTCAAGTTTGTTGCTACAAGTCATGTGTTAGCATTTCAAATGGTGAATTTGTATTACTTCGTACTATATATATGTTGATGTAGCGTCATATAAGACTACGTACATTTGACATTTCTCAAATTCGCGATGACGCTGCCCTTGTTGTTGATGTACCTTTTTGGCTGTCAGTTGGAGGCTATGAAAAACTTGGAAAATGAATGAAAAATGAGTTTCCGAGGCCAACGGGCATGGCTTGTAGATTTTAACGTTGAACAGTCATAGATCAACACTACACCAATATTAAATTAACTTCTAAACCCCTTTTTCTGTTTATCTTGTGGCCATCCCCCACAATATAGCATGCACCCTTTCCGAGACTACACCAGTGATTTGCATTCTAGTATACTCTTTCATGTATGGGAGTCTTGGCATTGTGGTTCCATATGGACAAAGGATGATCTGGACCAATATTTTCTATTCATTTGTGTGGTCCACAGTTTGGAGTTGTTAGAGAATAGTTGCCACTCTAATTTTGCCACAAGAGCCCTATTAGTGTCTTGCATCTTCCTGAATCCCAAACCCCCAACATCTTTGGGTCTACATATGAAGTCCTAGGACTTGTATGCCATTGCCTTTTTATCTTTTGAATGACCCCACCAAAACATCCTAATTCTTTGGTCCATTTTGTTGCAAATTGTCTTTGGTAATAGGAAGGACTGCATAGCATAGGTAGGCATTGCAAGGGCAGCTGACTTGATGAGTGTGGCCCTTCCTGTATAGAACAAGACTTTGGATTTCCATCCTTGTAGTTTAATTTGCATCCGGTTTCTTAGAAATGGTCTGATTCTAGATTTCTTCAAGAAGAGTGGAAGGCCTAGGTCAGTGGCATTAGTGGTTCCTCTTTTAAGGCCAATCCGGTTTTTTGCTTCCTTGATTTTGTTGCTGAGTATATTGATTGGGACTATAGAAACTTATTGATTTGTCTCTGTTGATCTGCTGCCTTGACCACTCCTCAAAGGTGCTGACAACTCTTGAAATTGCTGAGGCTTCGTTAACATTTGCTCTTCCAAAGATCAATAGATCATCTGCAAACATTAGATGAGAAATTGCTTCACAGTTCCTTGCTATTTTGACTCTTTTAATGTTACCATATGCTACTTCTTTATGGAATAACCTGGAAAGCACTTTACAACAGATTATAAATAGAAAGGGGGACAAGGGGTCCCCTTGTTTGAGTCCTCTCTGTGCAGAGAATTTGCCAAATGGACCTCCATTAATCATGATTGAAAAAGATGTAGTAGAAATGCATTGGTGGACAAGGTTAATGAATTGGGTTGGGAAACCAATTAAGGATAGGACACTGAGAAAAAAATGCCACTCTACTCTATCAAAAGCCTTGGCCATGTCTATTTTGAGAAGAATGAGTGCACCCTTGCCTTTTTTCTTTTTCAGTTGGTGTACTATTTCCTGGGCTAAGATGGTGTTTTCAACTATGTTCCTTCTTGGGACAAAGGTCGACTGGTTGGGAGTGACAAACTGGTCCAAGAAAGGCCTTATTCTATTAGCTAACAGTTTGGATATGATCTTGTAAATGACATTACAGAGACTGATGGTTCTGTATTGGTTCACTATGGAGGATTTTGGAGTTTTGGGAATTAGGCAAATATTTGTGCGATTAAGCTCTGTTAGCATCAGTCTTCCAGCAAAAATCCTCTTGTCTGTGTTAATGACATCAGGACCTACTGTGTTCCAATAGGTTTTGAAGAATAAGACTGACATTCCATCTAGGCCTGGAGTTTTCAGTGAGGGCATGACAAATAATATGGTCTTTATTTCTTCGGGTGATGGGATGGAACCGGGGGCGGCCGGACACATATTGAGGCCTAAAGCGACAAATCTGAATAGGATCTTTAGTGTTTTTTTTTTAATATTACTACATTTTGTTTTTTAAAAAAATAATTCTCGCTTGTTAAAATACACATTCTTAATCAAATTATTGTATTCTAAAATTTTGCTGTCATATATTATCAATTACAAACATATCTTTTTGTTTGATACATGTAACAAATTTATGAAAATATTTTTTGAGTTACAAATAATTTTTAAATTTTTCTTATTTTTAAGTTTTTATATCCGATTGGTTATCTATAATATATAATCAAAATAAATACATATGATAATAAAGGATCTATAATAATAATAATAATAATAATAATAATAAAGCTTGAATTTAAACAAAAGCCCTGAAAATATGAAACGATAATAAAATTTAATTTTATTAGTGTTACTTTGAAAAATTAAAATTTGATATTTTGATTTTCTATCAACCAAAGTTAGATTATCACTCTTGCCAACAAAATTGAGTGGACTATTTTTAGGTGGGTTTGAAGATAAAATTTTGTGAAACATTAGGACAAGGAGAAATATATGAATCTTGAATTTGTGGGTTGATTGGTTCTAGACCATTTAGCATATAATTTTCCTATTGGGCTTAAGCTCTATAAGGTTCTTTGAGTAGTGATTTAGAATATTATGAATTTAGAGTTTGGGCTTGAACTACACTATGAACATATAAAATATGAGGCCTTTTTTATAATTGGGCCTAAAGCCCACTTTTTTTCCCTACCCTATTGGGCCGGCCCAGGATGGAACAAAGATCAGAGTGGTTGTTATTTCTATGATGATTGGTTGAAAGGATTCCTTGCAAATTTTAAGTCCACCAGTCCTTGGTCTTGAATAAAATCACTGAATCCTCCATGTGAAGGACATACCAATGGTCTCCCACCTTTCTTCTGTAATTGTGATACTACGTTGTTGAAACCTCCAATGAATAGAGAAGGCCCTGTAAAATCTTGATTGATTTGCTCCATGTTGTCCCAATGTTGTTGCTGACTTCTGGTAGCTGGTGCATATAAGCAGTTGAGGAGCCATTTTGAATCTGCTGGGTCTGCAAGTACCAGTGTAGAGATGATGCTGTGCTTGGAGAGGACTTTTCCAAGTTGACTCCCTTCCTCCAACAGAGGCAAATGCCACCAGATAGTCCTTTTGATGACTGTGCTTCAAGGCTGGACAAGCCTAGTTTGTTCACAATTGTTTTTACCTTTTTTTTTTTTTGAGATCTTTGTTTCTGAGAGGAATAAGAAATCTGGATGAAAGTCGTTTATTTGTTCCCTTAGATGGCGAATTATCGAGGCACTGGTTAACCCTTGACAATTCCACACATATCCTGTCATGGAGAGGTTGGGGGCATGGTCAGGCCAGCCTCCTCAGCCATTGAAGTGGTTTCTGCTGTCCATTCTACACTTATTCCATGCAAACTTGTTGCCAGGACTTTACTTATCTTCTTGGTGGAATTCCTGTACGTGATATTCCTTCTTGATTGCCTAGACATGTTGGAATTTGACATGAGAGTTGGGTCAGTCTGGGTGGTATTTTGGTATGATGCTGGTTTAGTTGGATCGTCTTCTGACTCTCTGATAAATATGATTGTTGGTCTGGGGTAATGGAGTTTTTGGGTCCCTAATTGGTGATGGGTTCTGGTTTGTTTGGCCGAATGGCAATTTTTCTTTCCTCTGTTTTCTAGAATTTTTCCGCATCTGATTCTTTCACTCCAATAATTTTCAAACTTCACTATTTTTCTAAGCTTCACTACACACATGAATATTAAGTCCCCCCTCCCAAAAAAATAAAAATAAAAATAAAAAAATAATAGTTTTAAAAAAAAAAGAATATTAAATGGTGGGTATGCAGTAACTATTGTCCTGTGAAGACCAACTCAAAGTCTTCACGACTTTGTTTCCAACGGTGGACACTTGTCCACTTAATAAATTTCAAATTTACCGCCTTACTTCTTTTTTTTTTTCATTTTATCCCCCACTTAAAAGTAATATGAAATGTCCTGCCAGTAGAATAGGAAGCAACAGCTGGCCACCACACTCATCTCCTAATTCCAACAACTATAAATTGGTCCTCAAAGTTTTAATATTTCTCTTTTGACACGCAATAAAATTCTAATATTGTATAAATTTACACTTAACAATAATATATTTTTTTTTTGGGGAGGGGGAAAGAGGACTTAAACCCTTAACTTCAAAAAGATAAAACCTTCATAAGATAAAAATATCATTAAACTAAAGACTCGTTGATTACTTATTACTTCAATGCAATGCAATGCAATGCTTGACAGGGTCGCACATCCTGGACCAAAAATCCAGTCGTTTCAAATGTTAGCAAAACCAAATATATTATTTTCTGTTATATATATGTATATATTAGGTGAATTTATACAAACTAAGAAAAGTCAGTTATTTTCTTCGTATATTATTTTGGTTGAGCAGGGTTGTCCAATGAAATATGGGTTATTCATCTTTGACATTGACTCGACAATTTTTCCAATCACGCTAGCAAATTGTGCAAGTTTCAACTTATTGATAATTAGTTTATTATATTCTTTTAATTTACTCCGTCTCTTTCTTCTTCAATTGGAGTTTTCCTTAGAGTTGTTGCATTCCTCTTTTTTGGGTTACGTCCAACTTTACCCTCCTCGATCTTGATTCCCTCTAATGTTTTCCTCTGGTTTTGAAGTAAATATTTAATATAACGGTGATATTACGTCATTGTCGCCACGTGATGTCACCAACCAATTAGAAGACTAAAAATAGGTAAAGTAAACTCCACTAATCTTATAACTATTTGTAATCACCTCATCCAATGAGCAACACATAGGATTAGTGGGATCCACCTTACCTACTTGTTGTCTTTTAATTGGATGGTGATACCATGTGACGGTGATGACGTGGTGTCACAGTTGCAATGAATATTTTCTCCTATTTTTGACCTCATTTGGTGTTTATCCAGTCTTTTTTTTTTTGGAACAATGTGTTTATCCAATTTATTGAGTTTAGATTTAAACGAAATGGGGCATAAATCTGTCTCTTCAATTTCGATAGTTTTTATAAATTATTTTATTATTTATAGTCCTTATAAATTGTTTGTCAAATTTGATGATAAATATTGATTTTATCCAACTAAAGGAATTAACTTTTGAATTGGCTATGGTAAAATTCTTATAAGTGATCAATGTTGAAACAACCCCTTATTTAAGAAAGTGATAATCGTAGTAGTGACATACAACAGTGTTCTAAGGAATAACATGGTAAACATTTTTTTTGGGTACAAGAGTTTTTCTTCCGACTTTTTTGATGAATTTTATCGACTTTTGTTTGGGTGGACTTTTTGATGGATTTGTCTATATGGATTGTGACCTCTAATTGTCTTTTTCTTATGAAAAATTGAACTTCGAAGTTTCTCCCACGATAGAAAAGGTCTGGTTCCACCCCTACATATTCTATTGGTATATTGACAAGTTATTTTTTGATATCGTCCTGAAAGTTAATAAAAAGTAAATGTGGAGTTATGCTTTAATATACATAGGTTATGACTCAATCTAGTAAGATTACGGCAAAATAAGGCTAACTCCCAACTTTTTTAGCCATGACTTAACTTTTCAGGATTGTATGTTAATTTAATTTAAATTGTAACTAACTAATTTTATGATAATTGTCCGTACGATATCAAATTTGGTATCACAGTTAATCCCTTAAAGTTCTGACTGGATACTTGCTGATACTAATTTACCATGCTGATACTTTTTGGATGATTTTTTTTTTTTTAATGTTAAATGACTAGACGATTTAGGTGTTCTGTTTTGCCTCCATTCATGTAAAAAGTTTATACTAGTCTATCATCTATCAATTATTTAATGAATAATGTTATTTAAATTTAAAAAGTTGATTTAATTTGTTGACATAATAATGTGAATTCGTAAAAATTATTGGATCAACACTAACTTCAAATGATTGATAAGACATACAGTCAATTCAAATATCACAATAAATTATATTAGATTTTTATGTCAGTTCTCAATAACAGAAATCCTGTACTCAATCCAGCTGTATTCCATCATGATGTGAAGGCACTAGGTGTGTGTGCTTTGCATTCATGTTTGCTGCTTCAAGTCAAGCGTTCACATTTCAATTAATGAATTTGTACGACATGATATCATATATATGTTGACGTAGAGTCGGGTAAGATTGCTTAGATTTGACATATCTGAGATTCACGATAATAGAAGTCACGTGCATAGCCTGCTCTTGCTGATGTACTTTTTTGGCTGTCAGCTGGGCACAACGAAAAACCTGTAAAATGAATAGATAACGAGTTTCCGAGGCCAATGGATCATGGACTTGCAAAATTGAACTTGAACGTCGAACAGTCTTAGATCAAGTCACTAGAGAGTCGGACCCAAACTATCTGAGCTTAAGGTTAATGTCAGAGCAAAGCATATTATTTGTACGAGTTTTTTATTCTCTTGCATAAGTCATTTTGTTGACCATTGTCCAAAAACAATGCAAGTGAACCAGTCAAAAACAATAATAGTTTTTTTTTCTACTGTAATGTAGTTATAACTTTTTGCTGTAGTGTTGGTAAAGGTGTTGGTATGTCAAAACTCCAACTGGTTTGACTCGTAGTGGCAATACAATTTTCCACAAAACTTTTTCTACTTTTTAACTCCTTGACTGACTTGTAGAGGGAGAGGAAGAAAATTACAAGGAATGATATTCCATAGGAATTAGGTTTTGAAAATTTTCTGATTGATTATCCTTGGTCGGGAAGGAATTTACTTTAGAGATCAATATAATTGATTTTAGTGATCGAGATATTATACCCAATGCACAAAATCCCGCAAATAACGGGTTTGCCAGAGATTAACGACTAATGTTATATTTATTTTAGAGAGATTGATTTCTGATTTGGCAATGAAGTTGATTTTTTTTTGCTATTATCCATGGAAACAATTAGGAATGTGTTTGAGTTTTGTGGAGTCTAGTTTATGTTGATTTGGATGATAATTTGACCTAAAATAATGTTGTGTTGTTTTTAATAGAAAATTTTTTGAGACTTAGTCCATGAAATGAAGACTTGGGCCAAATTTTTTTTTTAGCTTGTTTGTTTTGTAGCCCGGTGCAACACATATAAAACCTGTTATTTTTGGGTGATTAGTGTTGATTGACATTGTACGCCCACTCTGTATTCCTTTTTTATAATAGTGAAATCCCTATAGTTTCGTGGACATAGACAAATCGCAGATCCACGTAAATACTATCATTTTTGTGAAATTATTTTTTTTTGGCGTGTGTTTTCTCTATTTTTGTTTCTCACGGGTTTAGAAATTTCCTAAAGAATTTCCTAGCATAATGGAGGTACTTTAAGTTGTAATGCTACATTTTGTGTAAAATAGAAGTTTTATTCGAGACTTTTTACTTGTATAAAATTACAATCCAATTAGGTTAGGTTATCGTACTAACAAAGAAACTTACAATGCAAAGGTCGACTTAGGATTTGTCCAAGAAAATTAGAAACAATCCCAATTTTATTATGATCAAAGCTTAGGAAACTCTATAGTACCAAAATTTTTTTGGGTACGGGTCCTTGCCATTAGTTTGTATGGTAAAATTAATATTTTAAAAGGAGAAATTACAACTGTTCAAGGGAGGTCATGATCGATCACAGACACCCATGATTGATCATGAAAAATGACATATCGATATTAACCTTTCATGATCGATTATGTTCTTTGAAGTTGTAACTTACATTTCAAAAAAAATTGTAACGTAACTTTAAAAAGTTGTAACTTTGGGTGTTGGTACCACCGACAGAACCGTAGAAGTTCTCCCAAAAAATTATTACTTCTACCTCCTATTCTTTCCTGTAATTCTATTCCTTGAATTTTGGTTCTTAGAACCTTGGCATCCATGTTTTGGTGATTGTATAGAATGGGTCCAGGGTGGAGGAGAGGGAAAACCCCATCTAAAGTGAATAAAAGTCAAGAACTGCCACTAGCTCAGGGGACACAATTATGCACTTCCATATCTGTAGAGGAATGTAAGTTCTCTGTTTTATTTTTACTACAAAAGAAAACCAGTTCTACAAAATGAGATGGGGTTGACATTGTGCGTGCAAGATCCTGCACAATATAAAAAATGAGAACAGATCTCTTCCTTGGTGAACTCGAGTGAGCCGGTTGAGTGACCAAACACACTGCTTGGAACAGC